ATTTCGCCACATTATAATGACAATGGGTGAACCAGTTATTGCCATTACCCTACATGCTGAACGTTAAGCAGGAAATAAGGATTTCGGTTTTTAAGGACATGGGGACAGAACCCATGGCCTTTCTCTCACCTAAGGGAACAGTGCTATCACAAAATGAATTGTGGTGAGGATACAAAAGTGCAGGATTGATGTAGCCAACACATTTGTTTGTATGCGGTTTAACGTCCTTAAACCAGATATGGCGAACAGGCCCCGTAGGGAGACACCGCCAACAGAAAAAGTAATGAAGTTAGAAAAAAAAACTATGTGTATCGCAAGTGTTGCAATTGGGCCAGTAGATCGATTTAGGATTCTTCAATACCCCCAAGCAGAAAGTCCAGAAGGTATCCTCATTGTTTGTATTTATTATGACGTACAGTGGAACACATCAGGCCTATTCATCTTCCTTAACCTGCGGGGTTTGGGTTTATAGGGTTTAGCGTTTTATTAATATCTAAGGTCATTAGTGAGTGTAATGTCTGCGCTTGTGCTGGAGGCGGTACGCTTGTGTATTTCACGCCTCATACGCTTGTGTATTTCAAGCCTCATCACGATAGCCCGGATATGATACCGACTTTAGGTATCTACACCTCACTGAAATATCATGCCGATGCTAGGGACCTGTTCACAAAGTATTTTCATGTTATTTAAAGTTAACACCGAAAAGTGTCAACACGAAGATATAATGTTTATACTCAGTTGGTACAACCTTTAGAAATTGTATGTACCCGACGTAGAAACTACTAAGGGCTTAGTCAACGTGCCTCAACACTGAGAATGTCGCATCTAGACACAGAAATTAAACGCATTATCCTTGTTCTTATACCTTTGTAATCAGTTTAGGCCGTCTCCATTAAAACGGGTCAAGCGGAGAGAGAGAGAGAGCGCGAGCGAGCGAGAGCGGTATGTGTCGGTCGGATGGAAAACCGATTACTCACCTGACTCTCAACACTGTTGCGAGAAACGATATGTTGTCCAGTAAGGCGTAGATAAATACAACTTGAATAGACACGAGAGAAATTAATCGGATACATTACGGTACGCCGGCCCCCCACACTTAGAACAGACCATAGTATTGGCGTTCCCCTCTATGAAGCATACTATATTAGTTGCCTCTTACAATCACACAGTTGATTTCAACAGGTATTTTATTTTCTCGATCATTGCTCTGCATGGGAGACTAAACGAAATCATGACAGACGGACAAAAGAATGGTATATTACGGTAAAATAATAATGAATGCAATGGAGTATATTGTTATGTAATATCGACAGCTTCGAATTAATATGAAAGACTTTTTAATCAATGGTTCTCCATTGAAAGAGTTTGAGGCGATTAGTCATATAAAGCTATTCTGTTGGTGCATTTATATCAAATACAAAATCAAGTAGGTCAACTACTTTGTATCTACTTCCCGACATGTAGTGATATCTGATACAGACACTGCAATTACGGTTGATACAAATATCAATATGATTAGTGTAAGTTATGATAATATCCCAGTGTAACCTCCAATTAGTTTTGACATTATGTTCAATTGAAATTTAGATTGTGTTTCACTTGTGTATGATATCTTATATTGTATATTTTTCGTGGGAAAAAGTGGTTTTGTTCGGCTCATAACTATTTTGATTGCTTGTTTGTGTGCTTTGGAATTGCTTTTACGTCACATCGACAATTGAACATATTTTTGAGCTTCACAGTTTGCTGTGAAAAAAACACCCCGTTTAGAATTAAAAACATCAAAAACATCCTTAAAAATGAAAAATGCACTACAAGCATTAACAGCAGACGGATTGTTTTGTAATAGATCACATCTTATGTAAGAGATTATGTTTTCATGTATGGGGTCATATGAAAGGAGACGGCAGCCGAGGGACACACAGCCGAAAGGACAGCGTTAGGAAGTGAAAAAAAGAGAAGACAAATATCCCCAGTGTTGAATGAGGGCAGCAAATCAACTTTGGTTTCTTAAATGCCTCCCGAGTGGAAGACAAATAAGAAAACTCCGGATTCTGCAGGGGGACCTACACAAGTCTTTTTCTACGACGAACAGCTGGTTACAGAAGGGGGTTTTCTCCGCTTGTATCTCCATGACAAAATTTAGATGCTTTGCAACGAAACATTTAGGGTCAAACCCGTGGACATTTCCTGCTTGTCGGTAACGATACGCCCTTTATGAGACTAACAGCGTGGTTGTTATTAAGTAAACAATGCAAACGGATGAACATATAAAAGGAAACTTCCGACATTATATCGGATAAAAAAAATAGCAAATGCTAATGAGGTCATATGGATCAATATTGGTTTGGTTCGGATTTGTTTGGTTGAATGGCTTATGAACAGCAAAGGTTATCCAAGAACACCCCGCCATGTGTGTAATGTAGTCGGTTGGTGGGTTGGTTTAACGTCCCATCAACAAGGTCATTTAAAGACGTGCCGACATGTGTGTCGTGTATGCGTGCATGTGTGTTTGTGTTCCGTTGGCAGGGTATGTTGTTGTAGTTGCCTCCTTGTTTTAGAGCGGATCTAATGCCGACGTTGTAGTGCTACCTCACCGCAATACCAGCACAGCGTTCGACCGGTAACGTTACACTGACAGCAGGTGAAACATGTAATGTCATTACCCGAAATGGTGAACGTTAAGCAGGGAATAACAACTTCCCATTTTAAGGATTTATGTACGCCAAGAACTTGGGATATAACCCATTGCCTCTTTTACATGTGTGCATGTGTGTATGTGTGCTTGACGCAGGGTATACTTGTGTATTTGCCTCGCTGCATTAGCGCGGATCTGATGCCAATATTAGAGTGCTAAACCTACCTCACTTAAATACCATGCCAATGACACACATCAAATCATTCCAACCAGTGACATCATTCAAAGAAAGAATCATCTATTGCGATTATTCTAAATGCTGAACATTAAGATGTGAATAGCAACTACCATTTTTTTAAGAATTTTTGTATGGCCAAGCCTAGGACCATTTTTTTCCCTTTAGTGTCACCAAAAGGTAAGAGATTTGATTTGTTAAAATGCGTTAATGTTTGTCACGAAATGTCAGCCATTTCACATTTAGCTAAATCTCAAACATTTCATAAATATTACGTGAATCAAAAGTAACGGTTTCCATTTCATTTAATTGGTTCGAATCAAAGTGTTGTTTTGACAAACTTTTACAATACTTATCTCATTTTTTTTTAAAAATATGATAGCAGGTTGAAATATCTGCGGTATACTATTAAAGGTTTATTTTATACACAAACATGCCGTAACTTTCAAGCTTCAAAGCTTGACAAAGGGACTAGTCGTTCTTGTTACGTTACAACACGTTTACTTCGTGTTCATTGTTTGGGTATAATGTAAAACTTGAATACATATATCAAAACTAATAGATCTTATTGAATATATCTTCGGCACATAATTCGTAAATCATTTACGTCATCGTCAATAGAAAGCGTGAACGATCCGGTAATTAGAACTCAAAAGCGGCGAGACTAAGACCTCTACCGATTATAATAATTAAAAGTTTACAATTAAAAAATAAATAAAAAAAAGATTAGAAGGAAAGATGACAGTAAGGATAGAAAACGAAAAAGTGTTGCAATAGGGTAGCAGATTAGTTTTGACTCTTCATATCCCCTCCGTAGACGACAAGGAAGAAGGGGGTTCGATTTTGTTTTATTATGTGAATTACTCGTTAACAGCTAAGGAAATTTAAGGATATGCCCCCATGTGTGTTCTGTATGCGTTCACGTGTGTGTACCCTAAATGCTGAACGGTAAGCAGGGAATAACAACTACCATTTTTAATGACTTTGGTATGGCCCGTAGACAAAGGCTGTTTTATGGCGTTATATTCGCCTTTATATACAACAGCGTTCATGTTTATTTTAATAAAATGCATTATCAAAATCTGTCTAAGAAAGTGTAGGCGTGGAGACAAAACCCCTTGCCTTTCTCACCTTGGCGTCTCCACATCAGTGAAGATAGTGATAAGTGCTATTTAGAGCAGTGTTTACTTGAGCGAACTGTACACTGAACTAGAACAACAATATTGTTGCTCTAAGTTGAGTGGACAACACAAGCATATTGAACTCTTGAATGCTAACCAATTTGGACAAGAGGTCAGAAAAACACCCCGTAAACGAGCGATATCCTTAGTTGAAGGTGTTCATATCACATTAACACATATACAGAAAGTGCGTGTATAACTTGAGTGAAATGTGTTTACATTGTAGCTCAGGTCAGGGTCGAACGCTCTCGCAATTACTCAGGTCATATGATGAGGGTTGCCTAGGATATTAGGCTCATGTTGTTGTGCTGTGCTGTCAAACCTTTTTGGTTAGGCAGAATAGTTAACTACGGAGCTTCTTTTGAAAATGAAGTGAGCTTTTTACCGTCTGTTTTCGCTTTAATTAGATTCATGTTAATCTTTAGATATGCTAAGTAGCAACGGTTAGATATGTATCTGTTTGTGTCCAGTTACAGGTCTGCACGTCATCTATAAGTAGGGAATACTTCTGTATTTAATTAAAACATATCTATTTGCCATATTCCATCATACATATCTCACAACAATCAAGAACGAGTTATATTTGCCTTTAAATACAATAACGTTTATATTTAACTTAACAAAATGCATTATAAAAACCTGTCTAAGGAAGTCTAGGCCAGTATATCCGGCATAAACAGGTCTATTCCGGTTTTAGCCGGCTTTCCGTCAATTTCAGAACCTGCACTTATACGAAGTATTTCCTGTTTTAACAACCATACGACCACAGTCAACGCCAATACAAGTGAAAAGGTTTATAAACTGAATTACCTAGTTTCACAGTAACACCTTTTAAACATGTATTAACGCAGTAGGACTCATCAAAGGCGCACGCCTTTCCCCATACCATTTAAATAGATGCATATTGATTCGTCCGTCATGCCTGAGGGCGTGTCCTAAACTCACGTGACGTCACATATGTATTCTGTAAGTGTGCATAAACCTTTACATGAACCCGATTTTCACACACAGACATAGGGACCCGCCAGCTGAACACGTAAGTACACATACGTACCTACTTAAGACACGAGCATTTTGTACTCAGTACTCAAGGATAATTCACCTTCATGTTATAAATCTCTGAATTCGTTCTTTGTTCTCTCCGCTAGCTTTAATGACCGTACTAGTTGTATACACCTCGATATTTGATATGAACCCGAATATACATCGCTACTCTACTATTTAACATTATCGACGGCTGTAATCTTATCAAATCTTCTTTATTCAAATTTTTGATAGGCTATTGTTTCAGTTGTTGATTGATAGGCGATACCAGTGATGAATATAAAGTATCGATTTCATTAGCTACACAAACAATTGTATGCAACTGAATGATTTAAGGTGGCAACGTGGTATTCAACTGTACATAATACATAAATAGAAAGGAAATATTTTGATTCATTAATCAGACGACAGGGTTTATTGCATCCTGTTCATAGTGTACAACACATTTGACATTGTTATATACTCAATCGTTCACGTTAAATTACAGCCCACCAATCAAGGACTATCTTCTCAGTATTGATAAGCTCCCTTTTTATAGTTTTGAGATAGATCTCCTTTAATAATTAAAAATATTCACTCCATTTTGATGCTATAACCCCAATCAAAATTTGCTAGATAGACTTCATCATTAATTCAGTGTGTGTACGTATATCTTAACCAAAAATCAATTTTCATTTCGATGTTGTCTAGACTGACATGCGCCATCTACAATTGAGTGATTATTGATCACCATCACTGATTGTACATTTACTTTATGTGTCGGGGAAACAATGCCAAGGTGCCGATCATTGGCGTCAGTTGAAAGGGAATATCTACAGATAACTGATTGACGCCATTTCTATTGAAAAAACCCTCGGATCTGTTGTTTCACCATTTAATTTTAAATATCTAAGTACAAATATTTCGCCATGAAGATAGAATAGACTAGAACATGTGGTTAAGCTCTTACATGAATGTAACATTTCTTAATATCAAAGAAAACATTCGTAAAATATATTTAGGCCAATGTTTTGTTCATTTTTGCATTTTTAATGATTTGATTTTACAGCTTTCAGCGAAGCTCTGAAATATCAACAGTAAACAGTGTTGGGTTCATGAAGTTGTACTATTTGAAATAAACCAAGCGTGAAATACACCAAACGTGAAATACACCAAGCGTGAAATACAGATGGCTACCGACCATGTCGCAGGTCGCACTGAATAATATATACGCTAAATAGGTTGAAAATTGTATAGATAACTGTATAATCAGTATATGTAAAGATTGAAGATAAAATAACCCAGAAGGTTATGCACTGTACCAGGTGTTTTTATTATATTCTGGGATATACTTCTTTATTGAGAGAACGGTCTTTTCAAAATCTGCTTAATATGAGAGACACACACACGTCTACGAGTAATGTTAATGCAAGCAGTAGCACACAGACAAACACACACATACGTGAGACGTTGTAAACAAGCTTGTTTACTTTGAGAGCAAATGGCTGTAGTTTATGCACTTTAGGACAAATTTCTGTGAATCACAGCCGGTTGTCGACAACAAGATTCACACAAAACATGATGTACAAGTTATTAAAATGTACTTAAACTGTCGGCATAATGATCTTAAGTGGTGTGAAATTATATATAAAAAATCAACATCCATATTTTGTTCCTACCTACTTTAGTCAATTGTTAATTCACTTACATATTCACGTACAATGTTTGTTTTTTATCGCATGCTTTGTTGATGTATTCATCGTGCAAAGCATTTATGCATTAATAAAGTCACGATAACACGCATTCATTCCATACAGCTAGATATTCACCTCACATTTCATTCATTTATTTTTTACTGATATATAAATATGTCCATCCACCAAATCATTTATTTCTACCTTCCAATACCTGTCTGTATCCGCCAGATACAAAATGTATGAAGATCAGCCTCGATGCATAGCACCTCAAAAACTATTTACTGATATTAACGTCTTATTTAGACGGTATTGACCTTCAGGAAAATATCTTTCATTATATAAACAATCTCAAAGCTCTCTTCGAAACTGTAGATATCTCTTTAAATATGGATTACCTGTAATGTTTTGTAAGCTCTAAAATATGTTACTATTCATCTTTATCTTTTGAAATTAACAACCGATTAATTTAAACAAAATATCCATTAGTAAGTTCGGTGATTAAACTTGTTTTCATAGATGAATTGAAACTCAAGATCGACCGGGGTTCAACAAAGCAATAGACATATCAAAACGTTACCATTTGAAATATCCTCAGGGGTTGAGGAGACACCGGAACGACCGAGAAAAGTACACAGAGGCTCTTCAATAATCAAGGGAATATCAAAAACATTTCCACAAAGGGGAGAACAACTAGACAATTATATCAGACAAATATATCACGAAATACCTCCGATAATTAACCAAACTACCGAGAAATCGATCAGAAACTAGACATTAAGAGAAGGATATCAGAAGTTTCACGCTGATCAATGGAACCAATCAGCCTCATGGCCTTAAAATATACCATGAACAGCAACGTTAAACAAATCAACCAAATAGACACCAGGACTTACACAAAATGTAAAAGATAATGAAACTCGAACATAACTATGGAACCATGATGGAACTAGAACTAAGGAAAATATATAATAGAACCTTATGATAGAGAAAGGAACTAAGCATGCACTATAAATAGGCGAAAGATTTAAAAATGTAACTAAATCCAACGATAAACAAAGCAATTAACCAGAAACCAAAACTTGGTAAAGATATTATGAACACCAATGATATATAAAGTTACCAAACTGACAATGATAGAACATAAATACATCATCAACCCTCAAAACAACCACAGAGGAATCATACAGACACCAGAACTCGGGGAACAATATCGCGAACACCAACGATATATAAAGTTACCAAACTGACAATGATAGAACATAAATACATCATCAACCCTCAAAACAACCACAGAGGAATCATACAGACACCAGAACTCGGGGAACAATATCGCGAACACCAACGATATATAAAGTTACCAAACTGACAATGATAGAACATAAATACATCATCAACCCTCAAAACAACCACAGAGGAATCATACAGACACCAGAACTCGGGGAACAATATAGCGAACACCAATGATATATAAAGTTACCAAACTGACAATGATAGAACATAAATACATCATTAACCCTCAAAGCAACCACAGAGGAATCATACAGACACCAGAACTCGGGGAACAATATCGCGAACACCAATGTTGAATACAGTAACCAAACTGACAATGGGATTACAGAGCTACATCATCAGCCCTCAAACAACTGCAGGAAAAATGCAAACAACAGAACTTTGGAAACGATATCGTGAACACCAATGGTGAAAAAGTGAACAAGCTTGAACTTGAGGACAGGATTGTGTCATCAGCCCTCAATATAAACATAAAAATCGGGCGAATACAAAATGACTTTACCTTACCATTTTGTATCCCTACACTGAAATGATACACAAGTGTACAATCACACACAAACGATCGTGATGCATATATCAAAATAATTTAGTCATATTCATCATATTAGTGTATTTCAAATGACGTTTTTTAGTTTTAATGTACGGAACAACAAACTGATTAACAACACTGCAACAGATGAGTAAGTTTTATTACGTCAACGTATATTTTTGAAAAAGGCTAAAATTAATGCAAATATATAAAATGAATTATGTAACATAAAGCTCCATAGAATATTCCAGAGAATGTTAAAAATAATGTTTCGAGGAAACGTAAACAATAAGTAGATAGCAGGTGTACACCGCCGAGCATCATATTACCATATTACAACTTTTTAAAAACAAAATTGCATAACATCTCACATTAAAGCAGATACTACAACGCGGAAACATTGTTTTATTTTCTATTTGATAAAAGTATACGTAGATAATAAAGGCTATACAGAATGTCTACGCGTTGGGCTAGAATGTCAAAATCTCTCAAAAAAACCAACCACCGCACGCCATTTGTGCACTAAAGAGGAGGAAACTCCGTATACATGGCTGAAACTTGCGCAGATGTGGGACATATACACATCTGTAACACAATTGTAAACAGAAGTTTTATTATTTACTGCACGATACAAGTAAATATACATTTATTATTTCCATGAAATAATTATAAAACAAGAGGACCAGAGGGCCTGTATCACTCACCTGGATATCGAAGCAATTATGGCAAAATATTATCCAAATGCGATCCAAGGGAATAGACCAGACCCAAAGTCCAATCATTGTAGCAATCTGTATTAGATTTTTCATGCCCAGAATTTTTATGTATGGTTAACGGGTGGGGATCTCAACTGTTTCCAAGCTGTGAATCAGAAACTAGGTCCCTAGGGTTGTGGCCAGCATTTGTATATATAGTTATTGGGTGGAGATCATAACCATTTAAAAGTTATGACACAGGGGTTAAGTCTCCATTAAATTACACATAGACTAGCTATATATTTTCATATAAAACTATAAGAACTTAACAGTTTTGGCGACTGTGACCTGTGCATATATTTGCACATGGACTTTTGGTCAATGTCTGTCAATATCTGTGTGATTTGATAGCTATATAGCTTATACACAATTGTAAAATGTTATAAAAATAAATAATACCTGTGGAAGTGTTTTGTGAAGTGTGAATGTATTTGTATTTCAGTTATGTTAATTAAGAAGGAGTTACATCCCTTTAATTTTTTTATCTTTTTTTATAATTTTCATATCAAAATTGATGTATTAAAAAAATCAAATAAAAATAATAGAATCCGTTAATTTAGCCACCGCTGGAGAGAATTTATATAGGCTTTGCCTGTTATTCCATCCAATTGACATGTATCAACTTTGTCAATAAAATTTATTGAAATGAAATGAAAAAAGAAGTCTCCAAAGGTGGGTAAGACCCAATGCATTCCTTTATTTATATTCAGCAATTGCATATATGGTTATAGGGTGGGGATCTGAAAGGTTTCAAAGATATTACCCAGAAACTAAGTCCCTAGGGGTGGAGAAAAACCCCAGGGTCTATTTTTACATCATGATTGTGTTAACTCTTGATGCCCAGCAATATTATATATGGTTATGGGGTGGGGTTCTCAACTGTTTCATAGAAACAACGATCCATACCATACAATATTGACCCCACCCTACCACTTGACCCCAGGCTCATACATTTCAAAAAATCAAAAGAGAGCTAGTTGATGATTATAACTAAATGTGCCATTACTCTCTGCTACTTGAAGAAGTAGAGAAGAAGACTTTTAAAGATTACCCCATTTTTGTTTACTTCAGGCCCCTCGGGGTGCAGTCCCATACATTTTATAAAGTCAGATCCCCATGACCTAGTGATGTATAAATACATGATTACATAACAAGTACACAATATTGACCCCGCCCTACTTTTTGACTGCTTGATCCCAGGGCCATAAATGTCATAAATTCAAAAACGGGCTATTCGATGATTATACTTAAATTTGCCATTACTCGCTACTACTTGTAGGAGTAGAGAAGAAGATTTTTAAAGATGACTCCATTTTTTACCTATCTGGCCCCGCCCCTCAGGCCCCTGTGGGCGTAGCCCCGTAAATTTCATAAATTCAGATTCCCATGTCCTAGTGATGTTCCATGTCATGTTTGGTCAAAATTGGCTCAGTAGTTTTGAAGAAGATTAAAATGTCAAAAGTTGACGGACGACAGACAACAGACGATGGACGCTGCGGTATGCCATACGCTCACTTGGTCCTTCGGGCACTATTGACACTATTGATCAATTGATATTCATTCAGCTGTCGCATATACATATATACTGATTTAATCATGCATGCATTTCTTATTTCGTTCGTTATTCCTCTTTTTATTATGTTATTTCTATTTTCGATGGCTCTTGGTTAACTCTAGTGAGACCCTTTTCAGAATTTGGTGACATGCTGGAGTGTCATAGTATGACTTTCTATGAGATGGCATTTCTAACATAGGTCCATTATCTGTGAACAAAGTTCTTATACAACTACAGCTTTTCGGACCATACAAAGTTTTCAAAATTTGCAAACAAATATTCTTCATTAGCATTTATAACTTACGCCGTCGCTCCTGATGGATTAATGTTGAAAACCACCGCAGCTCATATTCTAAAGAAATATTCATCGGTATCAGAATTAAACGCGCTCTCTGATAAAAAAAAACCCATACAAAGTTATGTATGCATCATATTATCTAAACCACTGGCTAAAATATGTATTAATTATACTTTTATGTATCTGATTCGCTATTTTCAGTTGGTACATGTTATATAATTTCTTACATTAAAATATTTGACATACAAGTATGAGCACAATATAACGTTTATTACTATTAAATTTTGAAATAAAATAATTTTCTTTCTTTATAGGCCGAAGTGACAAGGAAAGAGTGCGGTAGTTTTTTGGTGTTCCCATCCTGGATATTACCATGACTTGATTGATGTCGGACACACTACGTGGCCGTTGTCGTAGCTTGAGTACAGGAGTTAATTTATTATAAACCTCCATGCTCTCTAGATGTTTACGGCTACATTAGCGTATGTTGTGCTGACTTTGAAGGACTGAGGAACTAGTGAAGTACTTAAACACTAAGGTGCTATATCCAAGGTTTGAAGATGTCGTTTGATGATGTATTCAAAGTGTTAGGGGAATTTGGGACGTATCAGAAGAGAGTATATCTTATGCAGTGCGTGCCGCAAATCTTCAGTGCTATTCAGACATGTCTGTCCATCTTCATTCTATTCACCCCCGAGCACAGGTAAGAACCAGGCATAGATATCATAAAATAAACATACCAATGAGGCATATCGTACTTTACTGGAAAAGAAAAGCTCTATGAACCATAAAAATACAAAGTTATAACAGTTCAAAGAGTGCACTTAGGCCAAATACAAAACTTCTGTTTTTCCTATTCATTTAGATTGAGTGCAGGAAGGTAGCAAAACGTTTTTTTACCAAAAAGAATTCAGTCATTAACAGGAACAACATACATTTTTTATTGAACAGATGTTAATGTATATAATTTGCAAGAAAATTCCGTTTTATCCATTTAAAACTATATAGCCTTTTCGTGGAATGCTTGGAGTTCTTAGATTTTATTAAAAATATTTCCAATTTATTAACATTGGCTATAAAATAATGCAGGTAGTGGGATGTTTTCCACGTAGGTTGGGGAATAGGCAACACACATGTTTTCGTTTTTGACTCAACATTCTATATCATGTCATCGACATAATATCTTGCATATACCAAGTACAAGCAGTGTTTGGCACAAAACCGCTAGTTTACTCACACATGTTTATAATGACACCTGTAAGCAAAGATGAACTCCATACCGGAAGTTGTTACACTCAGTTACACGAATATGCAACACGCTACTGCAAATACACATAGTTTGTCTAGCTTTTAACACAAGATGGATCCATTGCATTTTTTACTATAAACAATAGTTAAATGTTAATACAGACATTGAAGTAGTAATATAGCCTAATAGTTCATTGTATACACTGACAGAGAACAACTATAAAACCATTATAAAACCATCAAAGGCAATATGTAATAAATTAGAATATAAAACATCATATTAATAGACAATTGCACAATGGAAGTTAAGCTGAATATGGCAAGTCCATAACAAAACACCGGCAACTTAAAAAAATAAAAAATAAATAAAAATATCATCGTGACCTGCCTATAAAACGCTATACACATGATACAAACACTTATATTACATATTCATATATAAGTCATATATATCATAAGCACAAAACCAGTAAGCTTAATCTTTTAACATTCATACACAGGATAGACCCTTTTATAAATATCTTATATTATTAATATATATACATCACGAGATGGTTTGAAAAAGAACGTCCATCTTCATTTTATAATCTTTCAATTCCTGTTATAATAAACTAACAAATATATCACAATTCTGTTATACATCAATTCCTGACCTCATCAAACAACAGACCCAGACTTATTTCGAAATCTGCCAGTTTATCTGCTATTGAAACAACAGACCTAACCTCGTTCAGCAGTGTGTGAGTTTCTCTGCTAATGAGACAACAGACCTAGCATCATTTTGCAATTCTTACAAATATAGTGCTTAAGAAATAACATTCATAGCATCGTTCGGTAAGCTTCATCTTTATGCTACCATTTTTTTGGGAAATCGACAATTATAAAATTATGATCTGTAGTGCCCGAAGTTTTGAAAAAAAGTGAAGTTGTCACTTTTGTTTCAGCCGTCGACGAGTAGCATTTATCATTGTCTTAATCCACAACAGATCGATCTGCAAACTGTACAAGTGTCTAGCCTTCAGTTTTGCTATCTCTAACATGCACACAGAAATAATCCAGGCGTTGTATATATATGTATGTCACATATTTAACACAAATAGACCTTGACAACACTGTGTGTTCTCCAAAATTTAATATAGATCTAGTAGGATTACACCTCAAAAATAAGGATGAAAGGATATTAAGCACGTGGAATCTAAATTACTGGAAATCAATCGAATTAAGCGAGATTTACAATTTTCTTTTTAAATTAAGAATACAGTTGACTTTGATTTATATTTTTCTCCTTCACAAAATCAAGAGTACAGTCGCTTGTTTGCTTGGTGTTAAACAAAAACGGGTGCTTAGGGGGACACCACCCGAACACGAAAGTAGAGAGGAAAGATAAAAAAAGTAGACAGAAAAGACAGGAAATGAAAAAATGTTGCATAGTGTTGCAATGAAAAAGCAGATTTTTCAGTGTCACGTTCTTGCAACAGCCAATGTATCAAATATGATTTTTTAATTTTTTATTTAGTTTAACGTCCTAACCACCACTTAAGTTTTTGAAGGACGATATACACTGACGAAAATAACATATTAAATCACACCGTCTTCCAGATATTGTATTGTGTGATAAATTCCCATATATATTAAACTCGTGAAATTTGTGTCGACTTTATAGTGCTTATGTTACACGGTGGATACTATAAGGTTATGATATGCAAACATAAACCCCACGATTTCGCTGTGCTTGATATAGAGCCAGATAGGGTTACTCTTTATTGGCTTTTTCGATGATGTTGTGCGAAATTAAATACGGACGCCTTTGTTCCAAGAACAATGTTAGACAAAATCGTGAACAGTTTGACACTTCATAAGTTAAGCCCTGCAGGTTATTTGATTTATTAGTGTGGTGTCCACTTTTTGCAGTGTCTTCTATCTTAGGGTCACGCAAAATAAGTAATACTCCTAAACGTGATATTGTTGTTTTACAGGTGTAGTATTCCATTGTATGATAATGACACGTTCCTGGTTCAAAGCATTCGACACCAGGTCATGCTCAACTTGTCCATTCCTTACGAGGAAGATGTAGACCAATACGGACGTCCAACCACACAGGTTTCTAGATGCAACGTCAGAAGAAGCATCCCATGGAACAATGATACCGACGGAAACTCTTCCTTTGTAACATACCAGTGCCATTCATTTGTATTTGACACGACAATATTTCAAAGTACTTTTACAACCGAGGTAAGTTATCCATCCCTCTTCACTGGCAATGACAAGACAATGGTTCAGTGTCATGTTTTTTTTTCATCGTCTTACAACACACGTGGTAATTATATGATTGTACTTTGTACGTATTGGTTGTGTATGCTATATTCGCTTTGTAACGATCAACGAAATGTGAATAAGCACATTTTAAAAATTTGCCTCGATTAATAAACAAAGATCTTAATAGGTGAATTCATAACAAAAATTGGTTCGCAAGTCACTCAACGTTTCAATACTTGGGGATTTTTTTTTGTTCCAGGACAATCTTGTCTGTCAAAGGAAGAAATACATTGTACATGCCACGATGTCCTTTATGGCTGGCTTCACAGTGGGGTCGCTTTTACTTGGAATAATGGCGGATGTGTAAGTTAACTATACCTTTTTTTGTATCTAAGTTATCAATGTTTCACTTTAATATCCCTTTTCATTTAAGACACAAACCCTGCACTAGCGATTTAATTGATAGTTGTCGTCTAGAGATTCAGTGATGCATAACGCATAATAGGACAACTGGAACAAATTTAAAATAAAATACTCTTGACATTATGACACGTGTTTAGAAAATAATACAATCATATCCCTGTCGCTCTCCGTTTTATTTCATTATCACACCAACAATTGTCCAATATAATAGCGTTAGGTACAATGTGACCTTACCTGATGCAATTAGGAAACTATCAACCATTGTTAGTACTTTCATTAAGAAAAACATAAAATCCATACTATTCTTAATATACAAATGAAAATGCAAACAAGTCGGTTAACAAGAAGAATATAAATTTCTTTGTTTAAGCGATCGGGATTTAAACATGACATTGATCTTTTTTTATTAACTAAATGTATCTGCTTGAAGCCCAAAAGGTGAAGGTAAAAAATAAACATCAACTGAAATATAAAAGGATAAATAGTACATTAACAATTATTAGTGAACAAAACTTCATATCATTACCCAAAATAGGGGTTTTCATAATACCTGTCTAAATAAGTGAGCTACATCTTCAGATATGCTGTGTGTGTAATTATATCGTGATCTCTTTATTAACAAAAATAGAATCTGACAATAATCATGTAGGGCTATACAAAATAGGGTACACGTCATCAAACAAACAAGTCAAGTTTAAAAGCACACATTAAGTTAATAAAACCATATTAGAACAATATTCTTTCCAATATTTGTATGATGCTTCAGATATATGCCAGCTAGTTTTACTAGTTTCGTTCTATAATAGCAAGATTAGAGGACACCAGCTGTTACAAATTAAGCATGACACGTGTTACGGATGGCGGGGCTATAAATTTTCGCGATACTAAAGCTTCCCCTGTGTGCAAGATGCATGCGTGTGTGTTTTGGGAGACTGTGATATGTTCGTGTTTTTCTCCTTGTGATAGCACGGAACTAATGCTGACTTTATAGTGCTACCTCACTGAAACATACTGCTGAAGACACCCAGCAGGAAACCCTATCGGTCACATTATACTGACAACGGGCGAACCAGTCGTCCCACTCCTAATTTGCTGAACGTTAAGCATATTTACAGACTCTGGTTATCCCGGCCAGGGGACAGAACCCAAAGTCCTCCTCACAGGGGCGAACGCTCAACTAAATGCCAAAAGTGAGGAATGGCAAGGGAGACATCAGGAAGAAGAAAGTTGCTTAGAAAGAAGAGAAAAGATAAGATCCCAAATTTAGTCGCCTCTTACGATCATGCAATGACTATGTGAAGATACAATTCTTACGCCCTACCTACGGGGACTGTTTGGTCGAAGATTTTGGTAAACAACCTGTACATTTATCTTTGATAACGAATCTCTTATTCAAACTTGTAGGGTATTCCGTATTAGTAAACTTTTTTCAACCACTCATTAAATCCTGATACATTATGAAATACATTAATATTACGAGTTATTTTTAAAATCTGAAACATGTTTCCCTGATTATTAGTCACTGCATGAAAATGATTTTTACTAACACAATTAACGTCCAATACTATTACATCATCAACGGCCAATCAGTGTTATTCGGACAAATAGGGAATATTTAACCATGAAACATGTGTTCCTTGTTCAACGAAGTACTTCTTTTAAGGTCACCGGGCAATGTTCTAGAAACTGATGTATTTGTATTGCAAACGAACGAAACATGTACATGTATTTAACTTAGTCAAATCACACAACAGGGTCATACACACAAAAGAAGCGATTTTACTCTGTGAATTGTTAAGGATTTCCCAAAAAGTCAGATTAAAACCGATTTGTAGTCAATTTCTTTGCCTATATTTGTGAGTATGAGGTTTAAGTACGTTGTTTATTGAGAAAATGCATCGTGAACATTTTATCGCACGACAGTGTAACTCAAATTACGGTGAATCTACATATTGTGTCAGAAGGTAAATGGTGTCGTAGTTTTTACATTGTAAATTGTCTTGAATTAGCATATCATATAATGAAACATGTGCATGTAATAAAATACGAAGATCTAGTTTCTTCCATGTCTCCTACCTAGAAGTCATTGATGACACCATACCCGCTCATATGACCTCATTATAACATATAGGACATGCGCCTCTTATTATCTCCGTTTGTTCCGACAGTGTCGCTCTAGTCTTACGTTTTTATGACTTTCGCAGTTGCGAGACCTTTAAAGTCCCGTATAAAGACGATGGTCACAGATACCGGAGCCATATAATGGCAGTTTTTATAGTGTCATTTCAATGAAATGTCCTGGTCTGGATTATACAAAACAGTCTACCGAGGCCAATTGTTGACCAAACGTGTCTAAGACAAGGCTGAAAAACTGAATCAGGGTAATTTAATATTCAAATTATGTTCATCGTTTTCTTTGCAAATTATTTATTCTTTCATGGATCCCTAAATAATTTCGCCTTAATATCATTTATTTTTCGTTTACAAGCCACAGCATGTCTCGTTCCAATAATGTCAGTTCAAAAATGTCATTATTCGTTTTTCAAAACGGATAATAATTACCTATCTAAATTCAACGATTGTATACGATAAACAGTGGATCAAGTCGAGTTGCCGCAAATTCATGTACTGCTTAACAGTATTTCAATATAAAGTATAAAATACGATATTTTGGACATAAACCAGTTTGCCAGTTTGTTGGTGCTAATCATACATGCTAATTATTTTTCTAAATCTGTTAGTTGTATTAATTAAAATTCAGAATATTTTGATAACCAAATTAGAAGAATGTTGTACGGTATTTCACCGTTAAGCTAACAATGTTTTACGGTATTCCACTGTTAAGCTAACTATGCTTTAACAACTTGAACACAGGATGGCGAATGTATGCTAGTTTCATGTACATTATAAAGGAGCGTGGCCCCTGTAGTGAACACATACTGCGTTCGTACGCTCTAGAAGTGTATATCGTGCTTTCAATCTTGCCGCCCGATGTAGACATTGCCAAGACCGACTAAAGTTTTTTATCAGGTACATCGGAATATCCATTGAAGTGTATATAACAAGTCTCACACTAATTATTCCAACAAACACGTTAGTGTATTTGTGCTGGTAATGTTTGTGTTTTTAATAAGTGTAAGAGCTATAAGCACTCCACAAATAATTACGCTGGCGAGTCTCTCTAACAGTTCTCTAACAGCAGTATCAAATAAAGACTTTAGGGCTTCAGCATCTGTGCCTCATTCCCATACACACAACAACAACACGTTAAGTTACTCAGAAATCACCATATCCCTGTATGCATGGGGACGCTTCAGCTGTTGTTCATTCTGAAAGACAAATACTTACATTTAAGTGAACCATTAGCCCTTAAAATAAAATTTAACAATTATTTACATATATATTTATACCGTTCGTATAAAATATCATATATATATATGGAGAGAGGAAAGTATATTCTTCAGAATGGTTCTTGTTTTCTGCATTCATATGAAACAAAATGCCGGTACGTACATACTAGAAAATATGATTTTTATTTTAAATAATTATGAAGCCATAGAAAAAAATCACTATGATTTCATGTGGTTGAACTTTTAGAAAAGGTGACATTGTACTTTTTTAATCAGTTTTGTGAGAAAATATTCTTAAAATATACCCAATTCCCTTTATTCAGTGTGTATAAGTTAGGCTTCAATAGATAGCTAAGATCATTTAAGGATGTACTTCTATATTTGTAATGCATGTGAGTAAGCTGGAGGCACAATCTTGGTGCATTAAAGAACTTTTTTTTACCCCGTGTGTTGTATATATTAATTAGGCATGCAAAGGGGAGAAACATTTGTTTTTGTCGAATCGATTTCGAGTTCTGGTGTTGTGTTCAATTGACATTTTGTATGATTTGTTCTAGTTTACGCTGCATCGATCTATCATTAAACTATTGTTTATTAGTGCAACAAGATTCTATATTGCGTGTGCTGAGAGAATATCGGTTATTGAACACAATGACATGATGGGGAACAATTGTTTGATGCACACGATATCATGCAATCAATACAACTTAGCTGTTACACTTGAGTGGAATGTAGTCTTGATTTTATACATGATTGATGCATGATAACATGTACAATACGCATATGTCTAGATATAAAAAATATATCAATATATATCATGCAAAGACGAGCTGCCGTGTGTGTAATATGTAGGCGTGTATGTGTGTACTGTGTGCTGGTGAATACTGCTAGTGTATTTGCCGCCTGTCGATGGCGCGGATCTGTAACCTATTTTAGAGTTATATCTCACTTAATACAACTGGCACTACTATTGACTATTCATTTTAACTTTAAATACGATGTTTTTAGTATTCTAAATCGCAAAAATGTCCCACTCATACCACCCCACTCCGTATTGGACCCAAAACCCTAAGCCATACCTACGGAATATATCCAATATGTTCCATACACAACATGTAAGATAATTCGGAACACCGGCGTCGTTCACAACAACAATGGGCTATGTTGGTGAAAGACGGCAAATGAGGAAGCAGTCCTAAGAGTCTCTCATCGACAAAAAACAAATCTCAATTTTTCTTTTTCAATTTTCTGTACGTAGAATTTAATTGCCGAGGAGATTTTCTGGCAAGTATTTAATAAACAATTTCCATATCACACCGAAAATAAACCCACGATCTATATCAGCCTTCAGGCATGATATGGAAATATGTAGTTGAAACAGGATATATAGCGTTTTGAATCAGGATCTTAAAAGCATCGATTGCAATACAAATTTGGTTTAGACGAAGGCTATCCTACAATACATGTACTTGTTAAACAATTTGCTTGAGTGGAAAGCTGTTAAATGAATTGGAAATTACTAATGTATGTGTATTTACAACGACTGGCACAGTAAATTGAGGCAATCATTCATATGCATATATAAATATAGGCTTGTGATATAAATCATCTGTATTTCAAATATTTACTTGTAAACCAGACAGTGGTTACGATTTTGACTTTACAAAGAAAACGTTGGTAAATGTAATAACACGTAAGAATCATTTAGTCTTTCATCAGACTGAACTTTCAATTTAAAGTGCAGTTCACTCTGAATGCCTTGTCATTATATTTACCAAACAAAGTGCACACACACACATTATTTTGTTTCGTGTTTGGATATATTACATTTTCCATTGAATTATTTATTTGCGTGATACAATATTTTTATTGAATTCAAGAACAAAAAATGTCAGTGTCAGTTTCTCTGTCATTGCAACTGAATTGGTTAAATATTTTGTTATTCAAATCTCAATTGTTATACACCGTGTGTCAAAATAATAAACTGTATTTTGTCAAGGTATGAATAAATTAAATTTTACGGATGAATTATCAATTTACCTTTTTTTGTAGGGTTGGACGTAAAAAAGCGATGATCCTCAGTATCGTGTTGTATATCATTCCAAATATCAGTGGCAGCTTTGTTACCAGCTTTGAGCAGTTTGTCATTTGTCGGTTCCTGTCGGGAGTTTCCGTAGGTGGTCTTCTCGGAACTGGCTTCGTTATGGGTAAGACAGAATCTGACAACAGATACATATTACTATATTTGACAAGATACATGTTACTATATTTGAGAAAAAATTGTCATATTTTCATACAACTATTTTTTCTTGAAATGTACATATTGCTATGCTAGTATTACTTATAGAGGTTTTAACTGCTTTAGAAGTGTTTTAAAGAGGTTTTAACTGCTTAAGAAGTGTTTTTAATGTATGTGAAACTTTCAATATGTTTAAACTAGGGTTTATTTATTCAAATGCAACAGTTTTACATATTCTACTGAAAATTTCATATTCGTGTCATATTTTGAATTATGACTTTCAATATTTGACGAGTTTTCTATTTGAACTGTAATTCCGCGAATAATGCTCCACAAATACACGATATCTTAATCTACATCGAATATCATACGAACACGCTGACTTGATCAACGATTTAAGTAGAATTTTAAGGAAACGTGGGGAAAAATGCTAATTTATCTGCGCTGTTGTCAATATATAACAGTCGATCTTACAAGGGCAGTCAGTATAATTCAATATAAAAATGCCTGTAATAAAGTACTTGTTTGATACACGTTCTTTGTCACTAGTATATGAATACCCACATTAGACTTATTATACAAAAATATATGATATCATGATTAACAACCACTATTATTGTTATTTGGGTCTTTCGCGTGATTTAAACATTTTAACCTTTTAGTTCAAACGTCTTGTTTTATTGTTATTTTGCCATAAATTACTCAGATTGTCGAGTAGTAGTAAAACAACGATAAATAAATGCAATTAAGCTCACACAAGTGCATAGGACGACTGTAATAGAAAACCACCTGTGACATACTTATTTGGACAAAGTTTGGCTAAATAAAAAAGTTTAGGAAAGTAAAGTTTAATTATTTTGCCAATTGAATGAAAAAACAAACAGGATAGCAGTTGTTTTAAAAGACATGTGTTTAACAACATTTTATTTGAATTCATTGATTGATTGGGGATTTCCTTAATTTGTTTTTCACTTGAAATAACACATTAGTTATCTGAACACCGATTGAATGACATGACCCGGCCAATGAAATCAAGTCCAAACAGGATACTGAAATATCTTTTAAATACATCACAATGAATAAAAGTGTGTATTCAATATTTTAAACTTTTCTTAACACCCATCGCTTAACATATGGTTTGGCAAGCGTTCATTTAAATGCATTCCTATTCACTCAATGACGTCAAAACCATCAATAGAAAAGAGTTTGTGTCTAAAATATAAAACGATCTAATGTAATATTTAGCTAAATATATCAGTTCTACCTTACACCATATGACTAATTAATAAATGGCACATGACCGGTGTTTTTCTGTTCCCATATGCACCGTGGTTTGTCATTTACTAAGGGTATTGGTGTCGTCACAGCGTCTGTTTTACCTCATTATGAAGGAAAACGAAACACGTGACTCATGATGCCATTTTTATGATTAGTATGGATTCGATAAAGCCAATGTTCAACCATAGGTTTGTTAAAGGATTCAATTATGGTATGTTAAGGTTAACGGGGTATAAACCTCGTTGGATCTTGAGGCAAATTGTATGAATTGTAAGGCATTTGATATCAAACATATTTCCGAGACCCATTTATGTTTATCAACAGAAAAACGGAGTATATGCTTCTATTTACATTCGTTGCAGTCTCACTTCTGAAAATGATTCATTAAAAATAAAAATAAAATAGTAAAGCGAACAGATAGAATTCTACTCACAACAATAATATAAATAATGTTCAATCCTTTATTGCTGATGTTGCGCTGTGTGACCATGTATATATATCTTGTGATAGTTTCTACAATTTTCATTTATATGATTATCGCAAACGGGGAGTGATTATTTATTTATGGTGTGGTATTATTTTGGGTTTATCAAACCAAATATTACGATTATTGTTTTTTCATTGTAGTCATTTTTTATAGACATATCAAATACCAATGAGAACATCTACCACTTTTCTAAACCGATTATTGCTAATTCCTTATCCTCAAATAAGATATCTTAATATTAAATACCCAAGGTTGTGCTAGTTTAAACTAGTCATTACTGGTTTTAAAAGGTGAAAGCTCCACCAAATGACATATCAAGCTTGGCACGTCCTTCAACTGTTAACGTTCAGTTCAGTACATATAACAAGGGTGTCATAATAATTATCGTTATAAACAAGATTAGTCGCCAGTGTGTATACGCTTCACTTGCTACTGATGATTGAAGCCATGCCATGAAGATTTCATTTCAACCTGTTTTCTTCTTACCTTTAAACATACAATGGCCAAGTCAGGGATAATAAGTTGTTTACCTGCAATGTATCATGATACGTGTTTCTTGACCTACTTCTATATACATGCACACTGTTGATAATGTTGTGTTACGTAAACCCTCCTCATTTCTTTATCAACCTGTATAGTTATGAACACCAACATTGCGACTAACAACAATATACGTAGTTGGGAAAGCAAATACAATATATACTATTTTGGGCGATGGTTTATAATGTTAAGTTGGAAACAATAAAACAAAACTTTTTCTAAACATTTTCTTCAGGTTGGTAAGTATGGATTATGAAAAGTTTTTTACACAACCAATAAGAGTTTCTATGTGACGTTTCGATGACTAGTACAGTATTACAATGTCACCTTCATTGGACAAATGCCCAGTAAAGCGTATGCACACAAAGGTGTAAAATGTGTACGAGTTGTCTACAAAATCTATGTCCATTTGGCCACGCTGTAAGTGAATGTACAACAAGTGTTATATATGTACCGAAATGACTTGATTCAGCTACGCTTTGTTTGCTGAAGGGGACAGTGTACACACCGTACTAGTCATCGAAACGTCACATAGAAAATCATATTGGTTGTGTTAAAAGAACCTGTCATAATTAAACAAAACTATAGCATATATAAAGTACATTTAACTTTGTTACACCTCAAGTGAATTTCTAGCTTTTTGATTGGTTGGGAGAAAATTAAACAAAAATCTCTGTCACCCTCTGAAAATACATTGGTTTTAAGGGGCGCGGGTGATATTGCCATGAGACAGTGAAAAATATCACATGCGCAAAAAATGTGCGTGCACCGCTTCGTTTCCCCACCGTGATGGTCACAAGAACGTTTGACGGCAACAGCCAATTTCATCAAGCACCGGTGCGATAGCGATTGTAAACAGCAGACTATCAACAAACAGGATGTCATTATCGAGGTTTGCTGCCGTTTCTGAGCTACAAAGACTTTTGGTGTAACAAAATAGATATGACATTCATTAGCAGGTGACAGTGAATATTGTCAACCCTCAAAAACCCATTGTCACCCTCGGCTTCGCCTCGGGTGACAATGATTTTCTCGGGTTGACAATATTCACTGTCACCTGCTAATAAATGTCATATTTATATAGTGTGATAGGTAAAGATCCCTGTCGCACTGCACTGTGGTTTGTTTTGGATAAACAGTAACCTCCCTGTATATTCCGTTTGGATATAAATGTAGCATAGTTAGGCCAGGACACTTCTGTTGACCAGATAACTCAATTGGTCAGAGCGATACTTAAACTATCTGAAGTCAAGTGTTTCATTCCTCGCCGATTTCTTCTTCACTCAGAACACTGTTGTTGGATATACCCATCTTAATTATTATCAATAAAAGTACAACACTTTGTGATAGTTTTTGGCAGTGGTATTGTGATCTTTAATCGGTTTGTTGATCCCAAACATTTATTTTCAAACGGTAAAAACATTTCTGTATGTAAATATCTCAGGTTTAGTAGCATCGGATATCTCATATGATTAAAATGTAATATGAAATATTTTAATATCAATACATATCTGGTACCTGTTTGCGGCTAATCGAGCACTGGAAACGTGTTACGTGTCTATTAAAAACGTTAGTCACTGCAACTAATCATTATATACTGTATATAGCTACACAAAAGACAATTAATAAACGGGGGTACGTTTACGCCTATATTGATTTATCAAATGAGTCCACGTTATTGTTTTCCAAGCGCACGTGATTGATCGATGATTTTATCAGTGTTTAAAGACTTTAAGTCTCATATATTGCAAGATTACACCAACATGAAAAGGATGTTGCTGCAATCGTGAATATAATACGCAATGGCATTCCGTTTATACAATTTGACACGTGACAGTGGATTAATGTTTTATTATTTTCATATGACTACTGTATTGAAGATCGAATGCATGAATGCTTATAAATTTTATAATTCGGTATACATTAATATATCTATTGTGATGTCATATATAGTAACGAAATGACGTTACAGACTTCCATATTGAATTACGAGATACAGATGCGGACAATATATATAGAATTGATGCGCATGTATTGAAGACCTCAGGAATAGTATCAAACAGCAAAATGTTTCCAAAATATTCGCTGAAACAATTGATGTCATACAAATATATTTAATTCGCTGTCATTTCATATGAAACTAATAAAACCATTCAGAAACTTTTGAATTAATCTTGCCACGGATTCACTTAAATTACCTTTTATATAAATGTTCAGCCACTGAGAGGTTCGCTGAATCGGGAAGTCTTTTGAGACATTCTAGTTATGTTCAATTGCATTTTTTTAATATATTTTTTTTACATGTACATGTGACATTTATTTTTATGTACTCCAAATTGGAAGATCAGAAAGCATACGTCACCGGCTGATTGTGATGTCACATTACAATCAATGGTTTGTGACGTCATAATCTAACCACGAGTTTTCACGAAAAAATGGACAAACACTTTTGACTTATATCAGGGATGTGTTTTTGCCTAGTTTGGATTAACTAGTCAAACGCACTGATGGAAGGCTAACTAAAATAGGACCGCAAAGCTAGTAATCAAGAAGTTAAGAATTGGTCTCCGTGTCAATTTTTGTGTTGGTATTTTTTAATACTTAACATGCAAAATATATAAAAATGTATACAATGTATAGTTTCTGGGTTTTAAGTTTGCTTGCGTCATATGTATGTTTGAACAGGACTGGAGTTTGTGGGCCCAAGCAAGAGAATGTGGGCTGGAATCGTGATTGAACTGTTTTGGGCCAGCGGGACCATGCTGCTAGCCCTACTCGCCTACCTTATTCGAGATTGGAAATATCTCAATCTTGTCGTTTCTGTACCTCCAGTTTTGTTTTTATCATATATATGGTAATTGTCCACAACGGATACTGTGCACACAAATGTATTAACATGTCCTTTGTATATTCTCCTATCTTCAGCAATGTACACCTTGCACTCTTTTAAGCAACCTGTTCTATTTTTGCGATTCACCAATAATATATTGCCATGAAAATAAGAAGACACGAAACACGAAGTAGATTTGAAAAGATTTACGAGTGTATTTTGCGTAGTATTAAACATTTTATGTGGAAATATACTTTGATAAGAGTTGTTCCCCTTTGAGCACTATCTTTACATTTTTCATTGAATTGTCCAGATAAGGTCAGCATGAAATTCAGAAAACAACACAGTGAATACATTTTATGATGACAGAAACGAGAAGGTTCAATGATTAAAAAAAAACACGTTCAAATTATACAGGAGATAATATATATTGTTATAATCACGATTGTGAATCATATTAATTAAAAAATTTAAGTTACATGTTACAAACGGATATCTATATTACTTCCACTTCACTAATAGAAATAAAAAAAATGTTAAAATATTGATAATAGTCAATTATTTCGCGGGACAACACGATTTTAAAAAAAAACATGTCAATTTTTGTAAGCAGGTCTTAAGCATATACTAAATATGCAAACCACATATCCCATTTTTATAAATAATAACTTACGATGCATAACCGTTACGTTAACCGAAACATCTATATCAGGTCTACTAAATCTTAGTTTTCTTGTTTGATTTAATTACATGGATCGAATAGGGCATCACTAAGAATACCTCCAAATGAAGTGAGGTAATGACCACTTAAGAGTCACATATTGGTTAGTAAGTATTTGATTGACCTCTATGTTTCTATAGAGGGTCAGTAAGTGATCATTAAATGTGTTATTGCCTTTTTGACCCTTCAAACAGTTCAGAGCTGTCATGTGGTAATTCTCGTTGTTAAAATGAATTGAATTCCAAAAGACGTTGATCTCTTTTTTCATACTTAGCATTTCTTGAATTCTTTTAAATGTTACATTTGCCTCTTTAGTTCTCGTTGGCGGATTATTGAGAGCCTCGTTCAATCGAACTCCGTCTGCCGCTTCATATATTTTGACCGTCATTGTCGCTGAATAAATTGAAACAGCAATTGAGCAACGACCAGGTCAAATTCTTTTCCAAAGTAATAGGGAGGCAACTAAATCTTGTTTCAATTTTTCAAAAAACGGGGCACAGGCGCTTCCATGTTATCCTTAAAGGCGATACTGACCCTCGATCGAATAATGAATTGTATCACGTGACAGCTCTAAACCAAGACAGTTTAAAACTACATGATATAGAACTCTGTTCTAATATCGCATTCCTTTTTTACATACATGTACATATGATGTCCTGACATTTAACAAATCTTTATGTAGCAGAAAATATCTTGTGATACCACCATACGCTTGTGATCAACTTCAATGTGATCGCTATCGTAAAGAACTTACATGTTGTTAAATCAAGGGTAATGCAATCATATATTAAGTGTTTAATAAGTGCAATGTCACATAGTAAACAAAAACAGTTAAAAGTACAGACGATGTTCAAAAGGCTCAATCAAATACCAATTGATTTAGTCTGATTTTGATATAAAAAAGGACACCAGATATTTCTGTTTATAGCCTTATATTGCTTGTTTGCTCGTTTGCTGGTTCAATAAAGAAAATAAATATCCGGTGGTGTTATCACAATCTATTACACCTGTCTCAAACAATGTGATACCTGAACATCAACATACTTAACTAAAAGATATCTTTTGCTTTATGATGTTTTACTGAACTAAAATCAAAATTGATGATGTTTTTTCTCTTAGTGATTTAAGAAAAAACAAATTTAATCATAGCATTGCATAATCAAGAAAACAGATGGCCACGGACTTTTTATGGGGCTTTTTTAATGTTAATGTTAAAATATTTGTACAATTAACAAAATATAAAAGTCATTTTGATAACGTACATACCATCAAACTTCGCAATTATTTGTCATGTTTTCGTTTGGTATCATTGGTTTAGAAAAAAACGTCTGCTTTAAGCATGATCCTTATGAATTTGTTACCCTTCAGTAAAGTTCAACTTTGATTGTTATTTTTTTCATGAGAAGAATGTACTTTTTTTTAGATGAATAACACTAATGTAAAACCTGTGTATTCTGAGGTTTCGAAGTTTGTCATTCTAAGCAAATAATAATTAAAAACGTTATAATTGTTATAAATATACAAAAAACTAAAATGCACTGCTCACAAGGCCCACATTTTCCTTGCAGGATTATGCCAGAGTCCGTCCGATGGTTATTAATCAAAGGTCGGACAGATGAGGCGATGGAGATAATTCAGCACGCTGCACGTGTGAACGGGGTACATGTACCCAGTAACATATTACTGAAAGGAAAAGAGGAAGAAAAGATAGAACCAGAGGAACCGTCGTCGTGTTTTCCAGTTTGCAAACTCTTCTCGACAGCTAAAATGGCGGGACGGACATCGATCATTTTCCTCAATTGGTAGGCATCCATTTAACAATATTCCCTTTTAACTCGATGCGGAGTATGTCCTTAATCTTCTTTTGGAAGAGATGCATCATAATATAATGGGATCACAGTTCAGTCTGCGTGAAAATGGTTACAAGGGTACAGCCGTAATTTCAGTGCACTCATACAACAAACTCAACAAATTCTAGGAGGTCCATTGCTAACCAATTATAAAAGAGCTTTTGTTTATCTGGTTTTACTTTTTACCATTTTGTTATTTTTACTACAGGGCAGTGTGCAGTTCCGTGTTTTATGGATTAAGTATAAATGTTGGAAACATCAGCGGAAACATATTCCTCAACTTCTTTCTAATCAGTGTGGCTGAATTGTTGGGTTTCCTCAGTCTGCTGTTCGTCCTCAATAGGTTTGGCAGGCGACCAGTGTATATCTTTTCCGTTGTCAGTGCAGGGGTGTTTTGTGTGTGCACAACGTTCCCCGTCATCTTCGGCTCTCCGGGTTTGTATATCAATACGTATTTTTGATCTTTTTGTATTTTTTTTCCTGACCTATTAAATCCAGATAATTAGTCTAATAAAACTGAGCAATAAGGCAACGGAAGGCTTAACAGAGTCAAAAATGAGCATTTCCTAAAAGTACGTATCATAAAACATCCGGGAGAGGTCTTTAATAGCTAATTAGTCCTAAGCTGTCAACATTTGTTCTTCAATCTTAAAGGGACAATTTAGTGAAGTAAGTTTTGTTGATAACCTGAAAATCTAGTCGACACTGAAAATATATATCTTCTAACAAAAGTTGACGTAATTGATAATGACATGGCCTGAAGCCAATGTCCAGTGTGGTCATTTTCAGCTTTTGGGAAAGCCGATGATAAAAGTAGCTACGACCGCAATAGCGCAATATCCGGGCCTTTCAGTGAGAAGTAAACATGTGCAGCACTACGCTGTCGACCAACAACACGGTGTTAGTTATGATTCTGAGTTCACACATAACAAAATCTTGAATTTACACAATACACCGCGAGTAAGAATTATAAGTATCATACTATATACCCCTTAACAGATATTTCTGTTCACATTTGGATTTGAATAAATACTGACAGGTTCAATTAGAGCATGCACGCACTGAGATTGTGCCGCAGGGAGAATTTCAAACCGCAGAAAGTACGATATCAATATGTTTAAACGCATTTTGAACGATGTTTTAGATGCTGTAAGAAAAATAGATGCAGCTACTTGTATTCAGAGAGGCTAGGCGAAAAAAGCGATAAGTTACCTTCTGTCCTCGACTGAAAAGACATTTTTGTTAGCTAGAAATTCACCGACAGCTGTCGCTTAAACGTACGGCTGTACATTTAAGGATTTCTACATTACGGATTAAAAACGCCAAGAAAACATTGTCTCTTGTCAATTTCTCGACATGAATTGTTCGAACTATTTAATCACGATGAGTTTTGTGACAAGGTTATAAAAAACCTAATCACTAAATTTTCCTTTGAACGTAAAGCATGACAAACATAGACGACTCACTATTAAAATCTTAGATAAGTGTAACGATTTGCCTATCGTGAATTTTCATCTTGGTTTTGTGTTAGTCTCGGAAGCTGATGAAAAAATACAACACAGGAACTCCAAAAAAGCTAGTTGATCATGGCTATGAAAACGATATATGGTCGCCTTTATGATTTCATTGGCATGTATGTTACGTGATGTGTGCGAATTGGAGGCCGATGTGTTTGGTTATGATCATAAGTGTGCCGTGTTATTTCGTTATCACTACAACAGTTATCACTAGGAGTAAGTGACATTACCTGTCATAGATCAATATAGAGACGAAGAAGACGATTACACTTTCGAAACAACTGTCCCTTTCACTTTGTCCTTATTCAATAGTCGCTATGTAAATATATCGTTTGTTCATATTTTACCCTGATTTTATTGTTTCATATCCCCCACTGAGTGACGACATAATGTTATGGTTTTGTCAGTGCGTCCGTCCGTCCGTCCGTAGTAAAATGCTTTTGTACGATTTACTTCATTAACCCCTTGACACATTTTCTTCTCTTCTACACCAAAATAAAGTAAAACACCTGATTTTATTTTTGTGGTCATCGGATAAGGTAAAATGTCAAAAGCAAAGCGTCCATTCGTAGCAAAGAGCTTGTATTAAAGGTACGTGATGCGCCCCAAAACATATTTATTTTATGTTTACATCAACGGTACTTAATAAGACCATCCATGCGCATATATTTTCTCCTGCATGGTGTTGAAGTAAAATCAAGCCATTCTTGTTATAAAAGTATCCCCACCAGGTTCTGAGAAAGAATAAACCTGCCGTATCTCACTACGTGTCGATAGAGGCCACACATATATGCTTCCAGAATACTCGAATTAATTTCTAAGGAGATATTGAGGACACCCAGATTTATCTGTTGTTCCAATTGCAAATGTAACGCGGCCGTTGACCTCAAACAAGCAATAGATCATCCAGGGTTTAAAAACAAGGACTAAACTAGATTGTGACCGAAAGTAAGGTTTATGAATAAGAATGTATACATAGCTGGACCAGAATAAAAGTACTAGTTGACCAAAATTTGCTTTGTATCATGAACAAAGCATTTCATATAGCTTTATTGTGAAACGGAAATAAAAAGGGCTTAAGTAAATTGTGTAAAATATACGGACAATGATTTATAGATTGCTTCCTACAAACATGTGAAATAACATTTGACAGTACATCAAATACTCCCGTTTCACTGCGTTTTAATGTAAACAACTTGAAATTCATCGTTTTTGATATCAGCTGTTCTTCAAAATTATGTCAACGGATAAATATAAATATTGATAACGACACTTTGGAACCCGTATAAACATGCTGCATGTACGTACATCTGTAAGACAATATTGTAGACTAGTTGATATTTACAAATCTATTAATATTGAAACACAAACAGCAATACAACTCGATCGTTAAACATGCCAGCAAGAGTATATGGATTAATCTCGAGTTACAAGAGTTCAAGGTTGGTCGAGGTTATGCGTTGTATGTGCACACACCAGTTGAAGTGATATAACAAGATGTCAAAGGCTGATCGGGCCAGCCACGGGCTATTTTACATTTGTCATAACCTTGAAAAATCAACACTGTCATAGTACATGTACATTGAAAACGGTATAATCAGTCCTTACCATCACTTATCTAAACACGGACGCTATGTCCCGGTTGTTCAAAGGGTGACTAGAACTAACTAGTGGTTAGTAAACAAAACAAAATTTCCATACAACAAATCAAGAATATTTGTCGTAATTTCACTGCCATATATATATATATATATATCAAACTGTTGTGTTTTTAATATTTAGTATTGTTTTTTGTTGCAAATCGCTTTACTTTAGTGGTAACATTTTGTTATATTCACTAACCTTAGGCAAAAATGAACAAACCTTTCGGTGGACATTAGAAAGCACGACGTTTTAATATTGTTGTTGTCTCGGACAGGAGGCTGAACCGTAGCCTTTCTGCGATTTTAGGGACACTCAGTTCTAAATCTAATACATTCCTGTATCAAATATGTTGACCCTGTTAATGTTTGTAAATCTTTACTATCATCTGTTTTTGTTTTTAAATAATGGTGATGTTTGGGAAAACTCATCACAAACAATGAGCCCTTTGTATCAATAACTTCCTTATAACAATGTTGTGATAGCTGACAGAATCGTCAAAAGTGCATACAATTAACAACGGATTTCTATTTAAAGTTAAAACTGTTGGGAACGACAGGTCAAATCTCTAGCAAATGACAGCCAAAGTGATAGTTCAAAATTGGTCTCTCAATATTGTGTTAGAATAGGGTTTAATTTTTTGCTGTTTTGAAAAATGTGGTCTCTTAAAAGTTGGTTAGAAAAAGGAGATTTCTCACTGTAAAAGTAAGGAGAACAAAGTACATTTTGTAGATGATTTGTTTTTAATTTGGCCACAACTAAGAATTGTTAGCAAGATTATTTGAAAATCTTCGATAGAAACAAGTTTTATCTATCGTTCCATAACAACACTCGATAGGCAATTTCGCATAGCCAATGATGCAATATAAACAATTGTCAAAAAATCCATTTATGTTAAAAGTGAATGTTCGTTTTATTCTCATTTCAGAGATACAATGGGTTGCCGTATTATTAGCAACAATTGGCAAAGTCGGTGCTTCGGCATCGTTTGCCACGGTGCTTTTGTTTTCAGCGGAGTTATTTCCGACCGTTATCAGAAACTCCGCTATGGGAGCTGCCTCTTTCTGTGCAAGAGTTGGCGGGATGGTATCGCCGTATATTGTAGATCTCGTGAGTAAAAATCATTGACGTGTTAGCATTTCGTATATTTCCTCACCAACAGCACTACATTGATTCATAAATATAGCCGATACTGCACACGTTGTATGCTTCACTCTGTTTTTTGAATGATGTAATGCCAACGGCTAAGTTATCGTGCCACTAAAGGGCAAGTTTCACGCACATTTAAATCTCACAATTTGTGAACCGTGCCATGGTTTCTCTCTCGGGCAAAGTATCTGCAAACTGGTTTTATTTGTAATTGTTTTGGATAAGCGTCATATTTACAAATAAGGTCATTCCATGTGTAAAACGTATTTCTGCAAGTGTTTATGCATTCTGGAGGCGGTGTGCTGTTGTATATGACTCCCTGTGGATCTTATGCCGACTTTATAGTGTCACTTCACTGAAATACCAAACAGAAGACATACATTATTTTTATTACAATCTTTGTGGCCTGTCATCATATAAAACAATATGTTTGCCAATAGAATTTTGATAAAACATGTTTAAGAAAATGAAATGAAACAAACGAAAAGTTTAAAGACAAATTTCACCTTGACAACGTAAAAGTGGCTATGATTCGCTTTATCCTTTAGATCAACAGCTTTCATGTAGTTAAGAATTGAAGAGACAAATACTGTTTCGAAAAGGGATTCGAGATTTTAATAAAATATTATGGAAAATGTCCGTTGTTGTCTAAAGATCAATGCAATCTATTAACAAGTGTTTTACTGCAAATGGTTCGTCACATGATATGCATTGATGCTGGCTTTCGCTTTTCAATGAATAAGTATGGGTTATGTATGAATAACCCATCTTGACGGTTTTCTCTAAAGCTGGGATATTATTCAACGATTTAATTGTTAAGAGTGTAATTTGTTGAATACGCATCGATTCTAATTATTTATGTATTTATTTATGTTGGTATAAATGTACCTCTGTATAAGGCATCATATGGGAAATATAACAACTCTGAAAAGTAAAGGCTGTTTTGCATGAGGATATGAAAGTATTTTCATATTTTGATAACAAAAAGTCTTAAAGTGATTGGAAAGAAGAAACATGGATATCTAAAGTATAATACATGTACACCCTGTCCAATTGAAATAGGCGGGTTGGAATATATGTATATATATATATATATACATTTATAATAGTTTAAAAACTAATGACCTTACGGATTTGAAAAACAATGACTTCTCATGGTTTAGTGATAAACCCATTGCACGATAGTTACCTCAAATTCACTGTGTACTAAAAGTTTGTACATTTAGTTGATACATTTAGTTTGCTCCCAACCGTATGGCAAAATGATTAGAACTAATTAATTAAGACATCAATTATGGGATTTGTTTGTGTGTTTGTTTGATTTTGTTTATATCAATATAACAGATCTCAAATCTATTTTCGAAACTAATTGTTATGATTGGTCAAAGATTAATGTTATATCTTCATGATAGATTTTGCTTTCTGTCAATATATGAACAATATCAGTCGTATCAAATTGACAGCATCCCATATAAGCAAAACAAAGACACAACAAACTATAGGATTCATTATTTCCATATCGAACATCTTACTTACAGGCTCAAAGTGTCGATGGAGACTTTGGAAAGGCCCTTCCCATGATCATATTCGGTCTTTGTGCCATTTTATCGGGACTATTGGCATATTATCTCCCAGAGACACTACACGAAAACCTACCAGAGACAATAGCCGACTCAATGAAAAAGTAAGTCAGCCTTTGTTTTGGCTGTATATTTTGTACATTACAATAAGGGTCTTGCGTAACAAGAAAATATTTTTTTTTTATAAAGACGACATTCATTAACGAGTTCGCTGATATGTTCACATACATAATGTTGTAGGTTAGCTAGGTTTTTTTCCATCAACACCTATGGTCGATAGTACTGCAAACAATGTGTTATATACAAAATAAAAATGTTTTGCGAACAATCTTGGTAGCTTATCTGGTGACAATTCCGTCTTTGCGTATTGCAGAATTATCTTCTCTTGGGAGCAGGTATTGATTGTTAAGTCACTTGTTTGTGAGAGTAACGTCATTATTTTTTGAGAAAATGACGTAATTTTCTCGCACAAACCAATGACGTAACAATCAATACATGTTCACAAGAGAAGATAACTCTGCAATACGCAAAGACGGAATATGGGTTTGTGACGTCCCTATTACATAAATAACCTGACTTGATACAATATATTTTTACTTATGTTTTTGTGAGTGCGTGTGTAACAATTTTCTATCATGGAACAACCTGTATTGTTAAAAAATAAAACAAGGTAGTCTTCGTCTCAGATTCTGATACTACAACTGTTGAAGTGTACTGCGTGTACAACAGCTACTGCAGAAACAATATACTAAGACTTACACTACCATAGGTGTACCACCAACATTGATACTTTCAACATGCAATTTATATAACGATAACAACGTCGTAAAACGAGTTTTCAGTAGGGTAATCGTTAATCGTGTGCCTCTTTAAAGTATCTTATTATGCATACATCATGGATTTTACTTTCCTTTTCAGACCACGAAAGTCAAGACCAGACATCACAGCTATAGACGTTAATACAAACCAACCATTGATGAATGGGTACAATGCACAAGAAAATGAAACTACAGCTTAGTAGGTGCAGATTAAAGTATCAATAGAAACACACTATGAGAGACGAAAGGAAGCAACAACAAGTCAAACAGAATGGATATTTTAAGACAGATGCAAAATACTAACCTACGTTTCATAATATCTACGATGTATTTTAACATTCCAAATGCACAAGCTAGTCATCAGTATACATGCTATATTGTGCATTACACATGTTATGCATATCAGAGTTATCTCCCTTCTCTAAAGAAAAATGAGAACCAAAACATATTTCAGTGATAAAATGTCTCAAGATTCAAATCAATCATTACATTTAAAATTAACATATTGCTATGAATTGTTCTATCGTAGTGTTGGGGACCTTTCAGATAACTCGCTTAATATAGTTTTTGTTAAAGAACAAATTTGGACAGGAAAAGTCTACGACTAAAATATGAATTGTCCTTACTTCTGAGATTCATCATAATGACGCTGATCGCCATGAAGCGCTATTTGGCTATGCAACAAATTACACAGAAATGACACACTGCCTTCTGTTTGAGGTTATCTACCGCCTGCATCTGATGCCAATTTGAAAGACCTCAAAATACGGAATTATTCGATTCATATGCTGCATCGAATCCACACCACAATGCTCTTATCGTATAAAACCACGAGGGTTAGGGACATTCACGTGAAATTAATTGGAACAATAGCTAAGGCACACTGGACCGAATCATATGGCCAATTTTAATCTAGGTTATAATCTTAGGCCAGGCTCTGCCGAAACAAAATGCATCATTACCCGCCTATTTCAAGGGCACGATACGCGTTTCAGATTAATGAGGAATTTGGTTCTGCTTTCTGTCCTAGAAACGCCTGTTTGGAGGAAATTACATTATATCTTACTCTATTTTTCAATCCGATTTATTTTCTATTTCATTAAATCGACGTAAATTTAATTTCAGAAAATTTTACCCTGATTGATGACTATGTCGTGTTATAAGCAAATACATCATCAAGGTCATTCCGGTGGAATAAGGTATGAATATTAAATATTATAGAATGACAGTCCTGCGGAAATTGACATCAGCAATAGCTGATTAAATTGTAATATTTGCAAAAGAAAACAGCATGCTTCCTACGTCTTTAATACTCCATTATACATGTAGTAACTACTGGATTGTGTTCGATAAGTACCTTCGCCAAATTTATCTCATAAAACTAGAGATAATCATTTGAAAGCGTATTAAAATCAACATGGAGTGAAATATATGTGCTTTATAAAAATGTGATTAACATTTTCTCGCAATGATTTTCAATTGGTAATTATCGATGACTGCATAAAAAGTACGTAAGCGATCGTTGGTTGGTTCGTCGATTGATAATTAGGTTATAAAACCCGGTTCTTAATATATACATATATATATTTAGTACAGTTAAATTACGTTCAACAATACAAAACCAGTATGGGACACATTTTTATATACGTCAAAATAAGCAAGCTAAATCTGGTATAGATTTATCGATTTCCTATGCAATTTGGTTGTGTGTTTTTTGTTTGTTTAATATGACATTTTATGCACGGTTTGACACATATATCAGAAAATGCCTTTTCTATTTTTACACAAATGACTGTGTTCATTTAAATGTTATGCTCATCAGTCAACCATAGTCTTTATCATGTTTTGTATGTTTTGTGATAGTTTTTCTGAATAATGCTCAGGTGTATGCAATTAAAAAAAACCTGCACCTGAGTGGTGAATATTAATACAGATATGATTTGAAGTACCTGTATATTGTTAATCTAATTAACCATACCATGTAAGGTATCTCGTGAATTATACTTTAAGATACATGTACACAGATGATACAATGTACAACATTGAATATTGCTCACTTCAATAATCACACGAGGGCAGATATATTAGTAAAGCCTTTTGGATACATTCGTGTAACATATTCATATAAGTGTCTGAATACAGTTTGGTAAGATAATATATGTTATCGAGTATCTTTGTATTGATCATTTAGAATCGTGTAACCATATGACGGTACATTATTGCTCCCTTTGCATTGTTCGCTTAGATCTATCAAATATCAGTGTCTTAGAATTACTTATCTGGATAAAAAAACTCGTTTGACAACAGGTATCGGAGTGGTGTCTATTCAGAAACCCAAATGGTGTTATATACTTTTGGTTTATATGTGATGACAGGTGTCTTAGTAAATTAAGATAATGTTTGATTGGTTTAGCGTACTATGATAAGCTAATGTCATGTGCACCCATGTGTGTAACGGTGTGTGTGCAGGAAACGGTATGTTTGTGTATTGAAATAGTTCGGATGATACAGAATTCCGCGTGCTATCTAGCTGGAAGCATAATAAATAGAGTATGTCTTGTGCATGTAATAAGCTATATATATTGAAATTGGTTCAGCACCGATCCGTCTGCCAATATGACCTACTATATCACTGATATTTCATAAAGGTTGGTTAGTTTTGAAGGGTTAACCTCTTATCAACAGCTAAGGTAAGGAAAGGGCCTGCCTCCATGTGTGTTGTGTATGCGTGCATATGTGTGTGTATGCTGGAGGCAGGGTATGTGGGCGCATTTGCCGCCTTGTGATAACACTGATGCCGACTTTAAAGTGCTATTTCGCTACTACCATACCAAAGGCACATATCACAGAGTTTCACCCAGTCACGTAATACTGACAACTGGTGAACAATTTACATTGCAGCGGTTGTTTATATATTTCAATAAGCTACTGTAGATTTCACATTAAATATGTAGTCAACTACTTTTATCAGTCGACACTTTTGTATTCTCGATAATGTCTTCATTTAAAAAGACTTTATATTTTTTTATTTCTTCATGAAAATAAAATAAATGTATTACACTTCTTGACGATACATATTCCAGTGATGTATTTGGTAAAATGTTTTGCTTATTGAATTATTAAGGCGTTGGATTGTATAAGGGAAAAAGACGTATGTTGTTTGCTTAAACTACAAACAAATTTATAAAACAGACTTTTGTCTTTAAGCACTTCGCGATTATTAGCATTATCGCTAGTGCAGGCAGCCATTGACACAATTCGTACTTGTTTATATTTGTATATTCTCAATGCTATAAAGAATGCATGTAACTCTACTATATGAAGTTTAGTTTGGGCATCTGTATTCCAAGTTTAACCGGTTTTTTTTACGGAGAAGGACAACATACTCTTATACACATGTACTATATCATTTGCGTAAATAGTTTTGTGAAAGCTCATACCAAGACTACCCAACGCCATGTTTGTGGCCATATACATCTCTTTATGTATGTTTATTCTTCAAATATATATCTTTTGCGTGTATATTGCGTGACGTCGTATGATTCTAATACACTTTTACCATTAAATATTTTGTTAGGCTGAAATTGACACAATTGTAATAATAAATCAAACGTAAACCCTGTCTACACGTGACCTCTGTATTCGGGTTTATAAATACAAAGAAAACGTGACTAGAGGTGATCAGATAGCTAAACACAAACTTTCAGCAAAAGTTGAGACGTCCTATGATCCTAGTGTTCTTAAATCCGGGAAACGTTATTGTCAAGAACCACCAAAAGGGCAGCACTGAAAAAAATGCAAATATGCAGCATTTACACTCTCATTGTCCGAGTGGTTTTGTAAACTTGTCATCTGCAGATCTTGTGTCATTTTTTTTCATGTGTTTGGGTGTGAAAACCAATGAGTTATTCCTGATCTTCTCGTAGCTACATTGTCGGATAAACATGAATATTTATGTGCCGTCAGCGTAACAATGATGTATTAGCTTTCGGTAACAGCAAATCTTACCAACTAGTTGAACAAAAGCAAGATATCAGGACCTACTATCGACCCCTAACACACACACACACAAAACGCAGGGATTTTTGTCACATGGTGTAAGGCACTCTGTCGTTATCTGTTACTCAGATATGTTTATAGAAAATTTGTAGCCGTTAAACAATGGTTAATGTGAGTGATCTGTTAGCATTTCTATTCTTTACAGCATTGAGTGTATGTACTGCACAATTGTGTGAATTAAAAAAAAAAGTTGTTTTCTGTTTGTATTTTGCACATATTAAGACATCACATTATAATTTACCAGCAATGAAGGATATTCCTATGTTTATAAATATATAGTACATGTAATATGGTATTGCATACACAAAGCATAACTTTATTTTACATCTTTTATACCAGGTAAACAGTGTACAGTTGAGTTGTATATATGATACATGTAAATGTGAAACATTTGATTCTCAAGTCGAACTGTCTTTTTTCTGGAATTCTCTTGATTAATAAATTCATCTGATGTATTTACGTGTTTGTGCATTTTAGTCTGATTTGTTTTTGCTTAGTTTCGGCAAAACGTCCTCGAAACAGCAAGGGCCATATGAGGGCGAAGAACACTTCGTTTGATTTTGTTTTCTATTCTTTGAAGTTCGCCGACAATTAGACTTATTTTTGGAAAAAAAACATATTCAATATATAGGTTTACCACTGCCACAAAGTAAAAGGGCAACATGTTCAAACAGATGCAAAAACGCACAAATAGCACACACGAATAAAATATCACTGTTAGTTTATGATACCAAATTTATTGTACTAATTATTAAATGAAAAAACTAAATAGAATACAACAGTGTCATCAAAAACAGCCTAATATTAATCACAAAGTAACTTTATCCTTTTTGATTAAACAATTCGTAGTTCTTGAAATGTAAAGGTTTGCACGTGCTACAATGAACTATACATTGACATGGAAGACCACAGGTTAAGCTTAAAATTCGTAGGTCCAGAGAATTCACGATAATTCTTAGTAATTTGAAAACCTTTAAAGGGTATGGTTAACGGTTTTCTATATTAAATACTAGTAAAGGTTCATCGGTCAATACCGCAGAATTCTGCACTGCTCATTTGAAAACCTGATACTATGTACCATATATCCAGTCCGACCGAATGGATAAAGATGACCTTCGGAATTCTATACACAAAATCGTCGTATATACATCACCAACAACGTGACGCCTGTAGTAGCAAACTGAATTCAACACGATAACTCTCTTGTACCAGACATGACATCCATCATTATCCATTCTGTCATAAATAGAAAGGGGACATATGTTGTTGTAATATATGCGGATTTAATCAATCGTAATCTCTATACGAGCTTATTGATCTATAACTTACTTTTCTTAGTTACGTGACGGGTTTTCATAACAATATCCGTTCAATCGCCTCCGACTTGTCTTGCTTTGACAGTCTGTCGCGGGATATCAATAAGTAACAAACTTTAGTTTATGACATCAGTCAGACGAATACCTTGTCTTGATTGACATTACAACCCAAAGGAGCTATCGATATCCCTTACTGGCGTCCGTGTGTCCGATCTCGACAGAACGTCTTTACTTCATGTATAGAGTTACAACATAAGCTAGGGCTTGATATATATATAAATATATATATATATATGGGGCAAAGAATTAATTCCAACAGTGTGGACAAGTTTAGGTTGTCAAATTTTCGGAGCGATCCGCTCCTTTTCAAGACACAGTGAAACAGAACAGTTACATGTACATATACATCATATTACAAGAAGAAAGAATTGATATATATATATAGCCTTAGTATTTGTCATAATCTATCTAGCTACTGAATATCTGGTTAACTTATCTGGAAAGAAGGAAGTGATATTGAGAACAAGAAAAGTAGAATTTCGTTATTTTCACATATACTCTGGTCATCAATAGGTAAATATTAATTTCTATCATTATTGTGATAACTATATTTTTTAACAAAGAAGATGTTTGGTTTGGTTGGCTTCGTAGGGTTTAACGTCCTATCAACAGCTAAGGTCATACAAAAAGGTAGTAAAAACGTGCTAAACGAAATGACATCGAACAAAAAAGAAACGCTGTAGATATAAGTCAAATAAAAATTAAAGTCCCTATGGTTTGTTATATATTTCGGAGCACACCAACGCTTTTCAAGACGTCAAGAATTTTTGAGATATTTACTGCTTCGAGAAGAAATCGCAGAATTGTAATGATTTACAGAATTTTTGGCTGCACTTCTTTGTAATCTTATGAAAACGATATACGATTTAAAGTTCTTCAGCGGGGATAGTTAAAAGTCAGATTTTGTGTCTTCAATTGATTGATCAATGTAACAAATATCTATCGGGAGTAAACTTATTATTTTTGTAGGTGACTGTTAATCATAAGTAAAGATAAATTGCCCGTTCTATAATACAACTTCGTCGCCGTAAAATTGGAGTCAGCCGACGATAATACCAATATCTGAAATGGATGCTTTAAACTTGTCAGGATAAAGGTTTCTCTACGTGGGTAATGAGCTATGCTCTTCTGAAGCATCTCTTGGCGAAATGTATATCGCACAGTCCATTCCCATCCATTTAAATCACCTCATATCATTTCCTTGTTGCAGATGCCCATAGAAAATCAATAACATGCACGGAAATGCATTAAAAAAGTGGATGAAATATTTATTGAAAAGCCAAAAACTAAATGAAATAAAACGGAAGGCGCTAGTGACCATTTGCTTTATGCGTCATCGTTTCAAAACGAGCTTTTACTAAATCATTATTTGCAGATGCACAGGGGAATTTATTGCGTAATAGCGTATATTAATTATCGTGGATATGGTTGGACCGTCTTTTGAAGTCCATATTGATACTCTATACGTATGGCCTTTTATTTATGGCCTGGTTAAAATATATGTTTTAAGATGGTTGAACAACGTGTTCTCAATAATGGCTATATAGTAAGTCATCTGATGCTATCGTTTGACGTTTGCGTAAAGCGCGTGGGCTGTTTGTCAGTTTGTGGAGTAGCCATTCGTAGATCTTAAACCTTATGACGTTTACGGTCATTGTTAGTTATTTCAATGTCTATACAAGAATTCATGACATTTGGTAGGAGCAATTATTTCAGACAAGAAACGACATAAACACATGGTGTCTAAATAAACATGCACAAATTAAATATAATATGTCCATATGAATCGATTCCATGGTCATAATAAATAAATGAAGCTCTTTCAGGTCGATAAAATCGCTATATTGACCATTACCATGAATATAACTGTTTCTTATGCATCCAATTCATAAGTTTCAATTCCATTTTTTTGCAGTTCTCTAACAAATGTGAATATGTTTTATTTAAGGCGCTCGTTTTGATTCTTGATACCTATAATTTGTAAAAGCTTAAGGTACTCTAGGTGAAATATTAAAAATATGTTGTCCTAATATTACACAATACGATTTGAAGATAAATAGTTGCAAAAACAAAATATCCCAAAATTCTCGAAGGTGCAGCAGTTATATATATATTTCAATGAAAGCATATAAAATTTAATCAGCTCGTGAAGAAATTTTTTTTTTTTTTTTTTTTTTTTTTTTTTT